AAGGAGAAAGGATATGGCCTTGGCATCACTTGAATGAATTTTAGCATTGGAATAAATTGGAGACCCAGTGATTCAGCATTTAGGGCTCTTAATTGCAAACTAAAGATAAACTCTTGGTTTCTAATTTTGCAAATAAACATATTGAAATGATAATGTGTGGTTCACAATACAATGGGAAGGATGGAAAAAGATGTCCTGAAGTGGACAAGAGCAAGAGAGACTGCACAGCCAGAGACTCAGGAAGAATTAATATATCCCTTCTTCCAGTGCTTAATTCAACCTGTGGATTAAGTGTATTAATGAATATATTTAATATAATCGGGTAATAGAGAAGGAAGGAGGCAAGTTATTCTATCTATGCATTAACATACATCAGTGGCACTTCTATATGCAAGCAGTGAATTATCTGCTAAAGAAATAAGGCAAGCAATTCCATTAACAATAGCTACAAATAAAAAGTAACTAGGAATAAACTTAACCAAGGAGATGAAAGATTTCTACCCTGAAAACTATACCACTTTGATGAAAGAAACTGAGGAAGTCACAAATAAATGGAAGTACATCTTGTGTTCATGAATTAGAAGAACTGATATTGTTAAAATAACCATAATACCCAAAGAGAGCTATCAATTTAGTGCAGTTCTTATAAAAATTCCAATGAATTCTTCACCGAAACTGAAATAAATCACAAAATTTATATGGAACCATGAAAGACCCCAAATTGACAAAGCAATCCTGAACAAATATAGTATAAAGCCATAGTAACCAAAACCGCATGTTTCCTGCATAAAATAGACACATAGGACAGTGAAACAAAATGCAAAACATAGAAATAAATTCAAGCACCTAAAGCCAACCTATTTTCAATAAAGGTGCCAAGAAGACATCAGGGTGAAGTCAGTAAATGGTGCTGGTAAAACTGGATATTCTCGTGCAGAAGAATGACACTGGACTCTCATCTTTCACCATACACAAAAATAAACTTAAAATAGATGAAAGACATAAATTTAAAACCAGAATCTATGAAACTAACAGTAGAAAACATATGGAAACACTTCATAACATTGGACTGGGCAAGAGTTTGTAAAATAAGACCTCAATAGCTCTGAGGCATTGAAATAGAAATAGACAAATGGGATTAAATTAAACTAAAATTATTTTGCACAGCAAAGAAAACTATTAACATAGTGAAGAGATAACCTACAAAATTTCAGAAAATATTTGCAATCTATGCATCTGACAAGGGATTATAAAATAGCCTATATAAGGAACTTAGCTGAAAAAATAATAATTAAAAATGGGCAGATCTTAACACACCTTTCTCAAAATAAAACATGGCCAAACAGATGTACAAAAAATGCTTAACGTCACTAACCATCAGAGAATTACAAATCAAAATACCTTGAGATACCTCCTCACTCTTATTAGAATGGCTATTTTTCAGAAGACAAAGAAAGTGTTAGTGAGGATGTGGAGGAAAGGGAATTCATATGCTTACATACTGTTGGTGGAATTGTAAAGTAGCACAGCTGCTATGAAAAACAGAATGGGGTTTCCTCAAAAAATTAAAAATAGAACTACCATATGATCCAGAATCCCACTACTAGGTATATATTCAAAGGAAATAAAATCTGTATGTTGAAGTAATATCTGCATTCCCATTTTTATTGCCGCATTATGTACAATAGTTGAGATATAGAATCAACCAAGGCATAAACAGATAAAGAAATGTGGTATATACACACAGTGCAATACTATTTAGCCTTAAGAAAGAATGAAATTCTGTCATTTATGACAACATGGATAAACCTGGAGAACATCATGTTAAGGGAAATATGTTAGACACAGAAAGATTTTTTTTAAAAATTGGAGTTATAGAAGCAGAGAGTAGAACAGTGGTTACCAGAGACTGGAGAGGAAATGTGAGAGGGAAGGATGGGGAGATGTTTCCCACTACACTTGGGAATTACGGGAGTTACGATTCAAGATGAGATTTGGGTGAGGACACAGTCAAACTATATCACAATGAAAAGCGGTCACTATCTTGTACCACAGACTGTAGGAATAATGGGAGAGCAGGAGTAGATCCGAATGACACAAGAAAGGGACTGTATTCGATACAAACCTTATACTATCTATTTTCTTCTAATGACACCAAGCACCTCCCAAACTCTGCTACCTCTTTCCAAGCTCTCTGAGCTAGCTGACATTGAGCCCATGTGCCAATTCTTTCCACACAAACTTTTCCTTCTCTTCTGGACTAACAGTAATAGCCATATTGAGGAACGTGGTTTCTAGCTTCCTATGTGGCCATCAATGGCCAGATAATGCAATCTGGAAGTTCAGGAAAGTTGATGGGAAATGAGATGAGAAGAACCAGAGCAAATCAATATACCTACGTTTCTTCCCTCCATGGACAGCTCCCAGCTATAATTCCTCCTTCCATAGGAGTCCCACATTCCATACCTAATAAGTAATGTTCCCTGACTCTTTCGTTGTGAACAATAACACAGAAATGCATGTCATTGCATTGCTTTGTACTTATCCTAGATTCAGTTCCCTCTATTCCTCCTCCAGTCTTCCTGGGGTTTTACCTTCCAAATAGAACATCAAGACTTAAATTCTCACCTCAGGCTCTGCTTTCTAGAAGACCCATGCAACAACAGTCATAGATTAGGAAACTCATAAATATTCCTCACGGACAAGTTGCAGAAATGAGGATTTTGCTTCCATTCATATTTCCTTTCCAGCTGTGACTAGATCGATATATAAATAAATAGGTGACAGATATAGATATATAATTAACAGATAAAAATAATAACTTGCCTTCTCTTTCTTCTCCATTACATTATTTTTAAATTTTTTAAATTTATTTTTAATTGGCACATTGTATTTGTCCATATTTATGAGGTAAAATAATGTTTTGATACATTATTTTGTATAACAATCCAATCAAGAGAATTGTTAGCATATCTATCACTTCATACATTTATCATTTCTTTGTGATGAGAATATTCGAAAGCATTTCTTCTAGCCATTTTGTAACATACAGTATTTTACTACTAATGGTAGTCACCCTACTATGCATTAGAACACTAGAATTTATTCTTCCTATCTCATTGCAACTTTGTACCCATTGACCAACTTCTTCCCATCCTTCCCTCCCACATTTCCTCTCCAGTCTCTGGTAACCACTGTTCTACTCTCTGCTCCTATATGCCAATTTTTTTTTTAATCCCAAATATAAGGGAGATCATGCACTATATATCTTTCTGTGTCTGGCTTGTTTCACTTAACATGATGTTCTCCAGGTTTATCCATGTTGTCACAAATGACAGAATTTCATTCTTTCTTGGGACTGAATGGTATTCCACTGTGTGTGTGTATATATATATATATATATATATATATATATATATCACATTTTCTTTATCCATTTATGCATTGTTAAATACTTAGGTTGATTCCACATCTTAGCTATTGTATATAGTGTTGCAGTAAACATGGGAATGCAGATATTTCTTCAACATACAGATTTTATTTCCTTTAGATATATACCTAGTAGTGAGATTGCTGGATCACATGGTAGTTCTATTTCTAATTTCCTGAGGAAAACCCATTCTGGTTTTCATACTTTATCATTTTACCAACAGTGTGTAAGTGTGTATTCCTTTTCCTCCACATCCTCACTGACACTTGTTTTCTTTTGTCTTTTGACAGCCATTTTAATAAGAATGAGGAGATATCTCAAGGTAATTTTGATTTGTAATTCTCTGATGATTAATGATGTTAAGCATTTTTTATACATCTGTTTGGCCATGTCTCCCTTCGAGAAATGTACATTAAGATCCATTTTATTTATATTTTTTCTACTGTTAAGCCTCTTATATAATCTATATTATAACCCCTTGATACATGCATAGTGTGCAAATATTTTCTGCAATTCCTACAAAATTTCAGAAAATATTTGAAATCCTTCACTATGTTAACAGTTTTCTTTGCTGTGTAAAAGCTTTTTAGTTTGATTTAACCACATTTGTCTATTTTTGCTTTTAATTCTGGAGCTTTTAAGGTCTTATCTTACAAATTCTTGCCTGGCCCAATGTTATGAAGTGTTTCCATATCTTTTATTCTGTTAGTTTCATAGATTCTGGTTTTACATTTATGTCTTTCATCTATTTTAAGTTTATTTTTGTGTACGGTGAGAGATAGGTGTCTAGTGTCATTCTTCTGCATGTGAATGTCTGGTTTCACAAACACCATTTATTTTCTTTACCCTGATGTCTTACTCTTGGCAACCTTATTGAAAATTAGTTGGCTTTAGGTGCTTGAATTTGTTTTTGCACTTTCTGTTTTGTTGCATTGGTCTCTGTGTCTGTTTTTATTCCATTCCCATGCTATTTTGGTTACTATACCTTTACAGTATATTTTGACATCAGGTAGTGTGATGTCTTCAACTTTTTCCCTCTTTGTTCAGTTTGCCAATTTGGGATCTTTTACAGGTCCATATGAATTTCAAGATTTTGTTCTGTTTCTGTGAAAAATATTATTGGAATTTTTATAAGGATTCCATTAAATCTGTAGATTTCGTTGAGTAGTATGGTTATTTTAACAATGGGAATTCTTCCAATCCATGAACATAAGCTATCTTTCCATTTTTTTGCATCTTCTTCAGTTTCCTTCATCAAAGTTGTACAGTTTTCAGGGTAGAAATCTTTCGCCTCCTTGGTTAAGTTTATTCCTCGTTACTTTTTATTTGTAGCTATTATAAATGGAATTGCTTGCCTTGTTTCTTTAGCAGATAATTCACTACTAGCGTATAGAAGTGCCACTGATGTATGTTAATGCATAGATAGAATAACGCCTCCTTCCTTCTCTATTACCCCATTATATTAAATATATTCATTAATACACTTAATCCACAGGTTGAATTAAGCACTGGAAGAAGGGATATATTAATTCTTCCTGAGTCCCTGGCTGTGCAGTCTCTCTTGCTCTTGTCCACTTCAGGACATCTTTTTCCATCCTTCCCATTGTATTGTGAACCACACATTATCATTTCAATATGTTTATTTGCAAAATTAGAAACCAAGAGTTTATCTTTAGTTTGCAATTAAGAGCCCTAAATGCTGAATCACTGGGTCTCCAATTTATTCCAATGCTAAAATTCATTCAAGTGATGCCAAGGCCATATCCTTTCTCCTTCCTCTAGAGATGACATCTCTTTGGATACATAATCTCTAGTCAAAATATTCAACTCAATTCTCTAGGTATTTACTAAGCGTCGCCCACTACTAGGTGCTAGAGAAGATACAGAAAATAACTCTGAAAATGCTGACCATCTCACTGGGAGAAGACACACATAGAAAACAACTACCTCACTGTGAAGTGCAAAAATCAACTAAGTTACAGATAAGAGATCACAAGTGGGAAGAGCATATGAAGACAAAACAAGGGAAAAAACAAGCAGAGCTGTCTGTCTACTCCCCATTTACCTCATCAAAACTGGGATGTAAAATTACTGTTCATCTTGAGAAAAACACTTCAGGGATATTATCCCAAAGGGCTGAGAAGGACCTGAATGTCCCAGGTGAGCCCAGCACCATGATTCTATTAATTGTGAAGCTTAGAGGAAGAGTCCAATCTGAAAAATACTTAAGAGCTGCTGAGTCTCCACCTGCAACTCTGCTAAGGATCAGGAAAGCCACTGGGTCTGGAAACCGGTAACTTCCTGAGATTTTTACCATCATTCCGAGGTGAGTCTCTTCAGAATCCAGCATTGGTCTTGACCAGGTAGGCAGCCACCTTGGGAACTTGGAAAATTTTGTGCATGACTACTGGTAGGTGGGAAAGGTAGAACAGAAAGGAGAGCTCAGAGGTTGTCACTCAGAAACATACAATTCCCCTCCTCTCTAGTCAAGCCCAAACCAGTCCATGGCTTGATAACCACAGGCCAGTCTGTGTCTTCAGTGTAGATGCCTGCCAGTTATTTAGCTCATTTCAGTTTTGGTGCAGATTCTCCCTTCTGCATGTGTTTTCCCTTGTCTCTGATTTATAAGCCAAGCTTTTCAGAAGCAAAGAGACTTCAGATCTCTGCTTCAATCTCCAATGCCTTTCAGTTTTCAGGAATTCCAGAGATGAAGATTTCCTCTTTTCTGGCCTCCGAATGGAAACAGAATCCTTGAGAGACAAGTGATTTTGGAGATAGATAGAAGAGAGGGATCAAATGGGAGGGAGACAATGTTAGGAGAGTAGAAAGAGGGAGCAATATCTCCTTGTTCCCAAGTGATATTATTTCCAGTAAGTCACAAGGAAAATCATACTAGGTCCAATCTCCTTTCTCTACTCCTAGATGACACCTTGTGACATCCCTTTACCTTTCTGACCACATAAGGTTTTAAAAATGTTTAACTTTGACACTGGAGACCCATTTCCAGTTATTAAAAAGCCAAATCCAGTTCAATTTTAAACTTCAGCTTCACTGTGAATTCAAAGCATGGGTCCTCCCTTTTGAGCTCAGAACTGATGATGTGTAGCTTGGGTTGTACAACAGGAAGGCAGGAGCATATTTTCTTTTTTGCTTTTTACTTTTCCCACAATTACGTTGTTGTTACTACTGTTATTGTTATTGTCATATTGGTCTTCCCTTCTTTTTTCAGTTTTATCGGAAGAATGAGGATGGGAAAAAAAGCAAAACTGTTCACATCTGTTGCCATCGATACTAGCAGTTGGTGCCTTATGATGTCTCTTTTGATCATTTTGGGATTTGTCAGAGACTGCCTTTTGGAGACTGCCCCATTATGCAGTTCCCATTATACAAGGTCAATGAATTATTATCCCCTTGATCTCTTAGGATCTCTGAGAGCCACTTCATGGTTTCTTAATGCCACAGCCTACTCTTCTCCACTAGGCTGTTTCTGGATTGGCATCTCAACAAAGTGGCTTGATTCCAACGACCTCCTATAGCATTACATGTCCTATGGGAGAGCCATATATTCATGCCATGCCATGAGTGAAAATGCAGGATTCCTCTACCAACCACGATTTTTTCCCTCTACCCCTGCCATTGTGTGCTGATCCAGTGAGCCCTTCACCTTTAGAAGTGAGACTAAACACAGGTGTTTAAGTGTATATATGCCCCCTACATTTTCTTGAGGCTGCTATCTAGCCTCAGATGAAGTAAAACCCTGGTTTTTACTTGCTCCTTCTTGCACTCATTCTTCAAAGCACTTCCTTTGGAGACCTCCCCCAGCATTAGCGGGAAGAAGCACCCACACAAAGGTGTACACTCCCACGGCCATTCCTAACCCTCACTCATGTTTACTTCCTCAAACTCTTCACTTTCATGACACTTGAAATTTCTGTTTTCCTAGATTTAAAGGATAAAGATGAAAAATGAAGATGGTTTGGGACCAGTTTGGTCACTTTTAAGTAATTCTCACAAGGGTATCTAATATCTTTGGAATAGAGGGTATGCCTCATCTATGATCCTCACTTTGGGCAATTTAAACTACATATAGAATCAGCTGGAAAATTCACATACAGAGCCCTGTTAGAGTTTAAAACATGTTCATTGAGAAGTATCTGGCATGTCCCGTCTTTTCTATGGCATTTTCCAAAACTGCACTGCTAAAATACTTCCTTATGAAGTAGCACTTCCACTTAATAGGCAGAAGAAATTTAACTGCCCATCAGTCTAGAGGAAGTGCCTTACCACAATGGCTGCAGCCAAATGGTACCACATTAGGTTATCTTGTAGGTGTATGAAGACTTTGTGTTTCTTTCTTCAGATCAGCAGAAATATGCATCAAGGAAACCGAACCACCAGCACTGAATTCATTCTCCTGGGATTCTTCCGCCATGATGACCATCAAAACCTCCTCTTTGTGCTTTTCCTGGGTATGTACCTGGTCACTGTGGTTGGGAACGGGCTCATCATCCTGGCCATCAGCTTGGACACTTACCTTCACACCCCCATGTATCTCTTCCTTGCCAATCTATCCTTTGCTGATATTTCCTCCATTTCCAACTCAGTACCCAAAATGTTGATGAATATTCAAACCAAGAGTCAATCCATCTCTTATGAGAGCTGCATCACACAGATGTACTTTTCTATTGTGTTTGTCGTCACTGACAATTTGCTCTTGGGGACTATGGCGTACGACCGCTTTGTGGCGATCTGCCACCCTCTGAACTATTCAACCCTCATGCAGCCCAAGTTCTGCATTTTGCTCACAGTCATCCCGTGGCTCCTCAGTAATATTATTGCTCTGACACACACCCTTTTGCTCATTCAATTGCCCTTCTGTGACCACAATACTCTCTCCCACTTCTTCTGTGACTTGGCCCCTCTCCTCAAACTGTCCTGCTCAGACACAATAATCAATGAGCTTGTGCTGTTTATTGTGGGTTTATCAGTTATCATCGTCCCCTTTGCACTCATCTTCTTCTCCTATGTCTGCATCATCAGAGCTGTCCTGAGAATATCTTCCACACAGGGAAAGTGGAACGCCTTCTCCACCTGTGGCTCTCACCTCACAGTTGTATTACTGTTCTACGGAACCATTGTAGGTGTGTACTTTTTCCCCTCCTCCACTCACCCTGAGGACACTGATAAGATTGGTGCTGTACTATTTACTGTGGTGACACCCATGATGAACCCCTTCATCTACAGCTTGAGGAATAAGGATATGAAAGGTGCCCTGAGAAAGCTCATCAATAGCAAAAGTTCTTCCCTTTGATGCCCTGGACATCTAAATTCTTTCAATCCACATAATCAGATAAATGATTCAGTCCAGCGTGTATGGCACAGTTGTGATATTTCAACTTTTAATGAGCTTGCTGGTATCTGTCTCCTCTTCCAACCTCTGAGGGGTTGGAGCTTTTCCACTTAGCTCTTGTCTTAGAAACAAAACCTATAACCACTATGGCAAGTCATAAGAATAACACTCATCCTTGAAGAGTAGATTGGTGGTTACCAGGGCTCAGGTCCAGAGAGGTGAAGTGGGGTTGAATAGAGACTGGTTAATGGGTACAAAAATACAATTAGATAAAATAAATGAGACCGAATGTTTGAGAAATCATTAGGGGGGACTATAGTAAACAATAATCTATTGTATATTTTAAAATAGCTAAAAGAGAATAGTTTCAGTGTTCCCAGTATAAAGAAAAAATAAATGTTTAAGGTGATGGATATCCCAGTCCCTAATTTGATTGTTATACATTATATGACTGTATCAAAATATCAGATGTTCCCTCAAATTATGGGGAACAATGTGCCAGTAAAAATACATGTATCATTTAATAAGAAATTTATGTATACATAAAAAATAAAAATTAATTTTAAAACATACATTAATTAAATCTATATTATTACAAACTTTGGTACAATTTTTTTATAATTTAGACAATAACAGGTGCATATAGTGCCTACAGTCTAGCTCTTGTTGCTTTGAAGACAGTTATTACTACTTCTTTCCTTAATCTTTATTTGTTTAGGTCAGCTTTTCTCAAAGCTTGTTTTGTTAAGGTACTATTCAGTGAGATATTTTATGGTTGTAACAAGAAAGATTCCCATGTTCAAATAATTTTTGGCAACTCTGAGTTAAATGAAGCAAAATGTATTAAATGGACAACTTCTCAGAACCTTCAGTGTTGTGTAAATCTCTAAAAGGGTAAGATGGTAAACAGCAATTCTCAAGATTAAACTTGAAATAATTTAAATTTAATTATTTCAATCATATGGAACCTGATTGATCACAGAGTTGTTCATGGAACTAGCATTTTACAAATACATTTTAGGAAATATGACTCCAGATGACTTCAGTTATTTCAACGGAAAACCACAGAGTGTATGTATAAAAGGTATGCGTTATAGTTCTGACTCTGTCCGGAACAGCTATGTAGTATATAGTAGACACTAAAAACAAAGTGATACTTTTTTTTAACCACCCACTTTCCTGGCTTCTAACTCCAGCCTACCTGCCCTGCCAAATTAAGTTTATTTTTTCCCAGCCTAAGCTGACTTCCATTCTTCTCTAAACTTAGAATCATCCAACCTATTTATGAGTAAACCTATAATCAGCCACCTGCCTTTCTCCATGCTATCTCTTAAACTTTTATCTTTCCTTTTAGCTTTTATTATAAATGTAAAACCTACAGCTGTTGTATGAGCTACCCAATAAGCCTCTCAACAGTTCTAGTCTTCCTCAAGTACCTCAGTATCCATCCTGTTCCATCCATAACTCCAACATGGAACATCACAGAGCTCTGCCTTCATTATTCCATATGGAGCAGTAGGAAGAGTCCTAGATTTGTAATCAAGAAACATGGAGTCTGGCCCAACTCTGCAGCTAATTCACTGCAAGGCAGGCCGTGTTGCTAATTTCAGTTTCTTTTTTCTGTAATATTGCAATTGGTCTAATAAGGAGAAAAAAAGTTTTACAACAGCATATATCATAAAATCCCATTTTTGTAAAACAGAACTTGCATAAAGAGATGCCTCAGAGGAGAGTCAGTGAAATACAAGTGGTTGTGCAGATTGTATTTCCCAAAAATGGCCACAATATTTCCATCCCATGTGCTCTTGAAGCACCTACCCTACCACTTCTCCATCAAGAGGTGGAACCCATAACCCTCACTGTTGAGCTTGGTTTTGAGTGCTTATTTGACCAATAGAGCACCCCAAAAGTACTGGTGCATAATTTCTGAGACTGTCTTAGAAAAGCCAATTCCACTTTTTTATGGACTAAGTGCTTGTGTTCCCACAAAATTCATATGTTGAAGTCCTAACCCCCAAAGTGATGATAGTAGGAGACGGGGCCTTTGAAAGATGAGTGGGTCATGAGGATGAAGTCCTCATAAATTATTAGTGCCTTTACACAAGAGATCCAAGAGAACTCTCTATTGCTGCCACATGGAGGACACAACAGGAAATCTGCAGTCTCCAACCAGAAGAGGGGCCTCATCAGAACCTGACCATCCAGTTCATCTCAGACTTTCAGCCTCCAGAACGTAGAAAGCAAGTGTTTTTTAAAGCCACTCAGTTCATGGTAATTTGTTATGACATCCCATACAGATACACCTCCACCTGGCTTACTCTCTCTCTCTGAACATGGACCTCTGGAGCTTTGAGTTGCTATGGAAGAAGTCCCACTACCCTGAAGCCACCATGCTGGAGAGACCATATGGAAAGACTACACGGAATTCAAGAGAGTTGTTCAAGGAATCCCAGATGCACCGGCCCAGCAGTCTTTGAATCTCCCCAGCCAGTCACCAACATGTGAAAGAGTGAGCTTTCAGGTGATTCCAGCCTCGGCCCCAACCACAAGACACATAAAGGCCAAGTGAAAACTGCCTAGCCAAGCCCAGCCAAACCCTAGGACCCAAAAGACAACCATAAAATGATTTTTTGTTTGTTTGTTTGTTTTGAGACGGAGTTTCGCTCTTGTTACCCAGGCTGGAGTGCAATGGTGCGATCTCGGCTCACCGCAACCTCCGCCTCCTGGGTTCAGGCAATTCTCCTGCCTCAGCCTCCTGAGTAGCTGGGATTACAGGCACACGCCACCATGCCCAGCTAATTTTTTGTATTTTTAGTAGAGACGGGGTTTCACCATGTTGACCAGGATGGTCTCGATCTCTTGACCTCGTGATCCACCTGCCTCGGCCTCCCAAAGTGCTGGGATTATAGGCTTGAGCCACCACGCCCGGCCATGTTTTAATTTTCTACCATGTGGAGTGGTTTGTTACACAGTAATATGTAATAACGTAACAGCAGTTTTGCTTGGGTCATGGGATAAAATGATTCATGTCACATTCTGTGTTGCTTTAACATTTTACAATGACTGCCATTATAGAAAGAGGGAAAAGCTTTTTTAAGTTTTAATGAATATGAACTGTCTTGCCTATTCAACCATCATGCTTAACATGGTACCAGAATTTTCTGTTACATAAACATTAGTTGGGTGAACCTGTGATTCCCCTGCCAACCTTTATTTTTGTTAGATCTAGAATAAGGACCATCAGGGTTGAATGCAGGTGATTAGATCTAAACTGGTCCCCATCCCTGTTGGCCTGTGCTAATCCTCTTATCTCTGGCTTGTAGGTTCCACAGGAGGCTGGAAAATAAAGCTTCATCTGCAGCAAGTAACAGAAAAGTTGATTTGGCCAGATTTAGACTTGCATGTACATTGAGAGTCTGCCTGACAAAGTGAATTAGGATTATATTTGGGACACAGAACAGAATTGAGTAAGAAAATAGAAAGTCACAAATTTTTATAAAAATCTGGACAAGTCTTTGCAGAGGAAATGCTTAAATCTATACCTAGATACTTGTATTTCCCTGAATCATTCTCCAGTTTGTCACTTTCAACAAAAATCTATTGAGAACTTTCCATTTGCCAGGCTCTGAATCTGGGACTAAAAGAATGAATAATTCACAGTCCATGACCTCAATGCCCTCTAAGCCTAAAGAGAAAAATTAACTTAACATGATTTTTAAGACTTGATAAGTGAAGACAATGTTTTGTCAATAATTAATGTCATCAGATTAAGAAAGCATAAAGATTTTGTGCAAAGCACAAAATTCAGTCAACTGAATTTTACACCATTCTTGGCCTTTTGTGTTAGCTGTACCTGAGAAAAGCCAATTGTGGTTTTATGAATAAATCAACAGAAACCTGTGCCATCTCATTGTAGCTAACACAAATGCAAGAGGACTGCCTAGAAACACCAAAAATATCTATATATTGGCTAGGAATAACTTGTAAAACCTCATCTATGAAGAGTCAGCAAATACGTATCACTAGAACTTTTTTTAGTACCTATTGAGAGTCAAAAGGCAATGAGGCAGTGCTGTGCTTCCTTGACTCTTACTTCATAGTGTGTAGGACAGATAATGAACATATAAATAAATACATCACTGATATAATATGAGGTGGTAAGCAGGACTTCAATGAGATGTTAATCAGGTATGAGGACAATGACACAGAGAGCGGCTTATTACAGCAAAGGAAGTTTAGGCCTTGGGGAAGGACTGTCTTAGCTATTTGAGCAGAGAACTGAATAGAATAAGGGAATGAGCCATGAGATGTGGGGACACATTCCAAGAAAAGGGAATAGCAGGTTTAAAATCCTTATCTGAGAACAGGTTTGGCATACTCCATGGACAGTAAGTGAATAGGGCTAGGGCAGAGTGAGTTGGGAGAGTGGAAGCAGATATAGTCATGGAAGCAATCAGAAACCCATCCAAGCTGAGTCTTATAGGCAATGGTAAATTATTTTATTTAAATAAAATAAGTATTTAAAGTCATAGGACTTGGTGAAATTACCTAAGGAGTGATTACAGAGAGAGAGCAAGGTCTATGACAAAGCCCTGGTGGATTCCAATATTTAAGAAGCAGAATAAAGTAGGAGTCAAGAAGACAAAGGAAGAATGTGAAAAATTGTCCAAGAAAAAAGGAGCAACTGTTTCAAATACCATGGGAGCCAAACGATTACTCCTAAAATCATACTTTCCGATCTGCTCTCTTCAACCCAGGCAGCTAGCTCTCAAGCGTCCTGAATCCTCAGCATTGAACCCAAAATGAAACTACCTCCTTCAGAACAGATTTTTCAGAAGATGAAAAAATTTCAAATTTCTTCTTTGCCTCTGTCTTCCTTATACTTGCATATGTCCCTCTATATATATTCTCCTTTTAACAGAGGATTGTAAATGACTCAGAACTACAAACCTCTTTTAAAATTGGCATACAGTTTTAGCTAATACCATCTGTGACACTTATAACCACCCTAGAATGATCAGGAACATCTTCTACTTACTGTGATAATAAAAAGAATAATATACTGTAATCAAGTGTAGTTTATCCCCAAGTTATAAGAATAGTTTAACATTAAAAAATCAAAAAAATGCTATCCATCACATTAATAAACAAAATAAAACTACATTATCATCTCAGTAGATGCAGACAATCCTAAATCCATTCCTGATTTTAAAAAGAAAAATACTATGAGAATAAAAAAGAGGTATCAAAGAGAACTCCCTTATGTGATAAAGATCATCTGTGAAAAGTCTACATAAGGAATGGTGGGGATATCAGAGATTTTTCCCTAATATAAACAATGGGACAGGAAGTTACAGTCTCCTCATTTCCATTTAACATTGTGTTGGAAGTTCTAGCCAGTGCAATAAGGCAAGAAAAAGAAATGAAACCACTCAAATTATAAAGGAAGAAATAAAACTGCTTTCATTCACAGACAACACAATTGTGTATGTACAAAAACAAAAGAAGCTATTAAAACTAATAATTGAGTTTAGCAGGGTTGCAAGATACAAATGTACTAGCATAAAGACAGATACATAGACAAATGGAACTGAACAGAGAGCCCAGAAATAAACCCAAATATGACAACCAATATTTGACAAGGGCACCAAGAATACACAGTGAAGAAATTATAGTTCCATCAACATACTGGAAAAACCATATTTCCACATGCAAAAGAATGAAGTTGGATGATAATCACACACCATAGACAAAAATCAACCCAACATGAATCAAAAATGTTCATCATTTTGGTCTTGGTAACAAGTTCTTAGCAATGACACCAAATGCACAGGCAACAAAAGCAAAACGAGACATAAATTTGACTACATCAAATTAAGAAAAGCTTCTTCTCTTCAAAGGAAAC